TTATAAAAATATAGTTTTCGCTTGAGTCTTAATGGATTTTGTATTCAATTTTTTACTTTATTTCCGAGATATATAGTATATAAGTATAAACGCATGTGAAATCTTATTTTCAATAACTGTGTTAAATACCAAGACAATGTATAAAACATTACTAAGTAAAATTCCGAAATGTTAGGTGAAGTAATAATAGTAAATCATTAATGGAGACATAATGTTTCATAATACTCCTGTGTGTAATAGCCTAAAGGGTGTAGTCTGCAAGTTTGAAGCTATGGGAATACCTTTATGGGGAATGTAGCCGAAAAGACAGTACAGACTAATGGCTGTCTGCCCCATTAATAGATCATATAAAATAAAATCAAAACAAAGAACTGTGATAGTAAATTCTAAGAAATTCTCTAAATTTCATGAAAGATTTCGCTATAAAATACGATGCTGTAACAATAAAGTAAGTATAAAACTTTCTAACAAAACATGTCCAAGAAAAATTAAAGTACTTAGTAACTTTAGATCGTTGATTAATAAAGTTGCAGAAGTGCGAAAACGAAAAAATTTGCACTCCTGATATGCATTGTTTCTAGGAAGGAACAGGAAAGAGGTCAACGCTCGGAATAGCGTGGCGTACTGCCAGCAGAACTAATTCTATACGCATTAGAGATTGCGCAACAGACAAATGCGGTATGCGGAAATCATTGTACAGTCAATTTATAAAATAACATATCAATAAAATTCATATACCACTGAATTTAAACATCGTCTACATACGTATGCGTCTAAGGCGTCCCTTCTATGAGAATATTGATTCGGAATGGTTGCTCCTTCTTGGAAAAAAAAGTCCGTGTGATTATTTTCTTCTGACACTTGGATATAATATGTATAAACAAAAAATTACATTCGTGTGTAATAAATTTCAGGTCAAGATATTTAGTAGTATACCATCCATTCAAAAACAATTTATCATTCTTACAAATCAAAGGATGAAATAACCGCGCATGTGGCGTCATTAAAATGAGACATTGGCCACTATACCATCCACGTATAATAAAATATAAGGAATATGGTTATAAAAATAGCCTAACAACATCACAGTCTAAATTTGGACTTCATTAAAAATCTGTCTAACGTTTGACGCATCATTAAACACTCACAACGTCTTTCTAATTTTAATAATAAGCAAAACTCTTTTGATATCTGATGTGAGACTAATTTCTAGTTTTGTTATAAGTGCTCAAAATCAAGGAGAGTAAGAAAAATCTATCCGAAGAATGACAATGAAATATTACTCTACCGAACCATTACTTATCATTTTGGCGAAGAACCTTTCCACACATTTCTTTAAGGACCATGTGGTTTTTATCCAAAAGAATTTACTCCTTTTCGGGTTACTAATTACTACAGTTATTTTAGACACTTTAATCAATTTAGGTCGTGGAGTAGCATTTATCTTTTCAGTCAATAATTTGTTTTAGCTGTCTAAAATTTATCACGATGACAACGTAATCATTAAATCAAAAGTATGTACCCTTTTTATGGTATTGTTTTTCTTTGTATTGTAAAAGAAGAAATATTTTTATGAAACAACATTTGATTAGGAGCAGGCAATGGTAAAAAATATTAAATTACGAGTAAAGAGTCAGTAGACAAGAAACACTTAAAACTTCTCAAGCAATTTGTAAGCCTTCAGATTGGAATACTGAAATAGTAAGGAAGATTATTTTCTAATATTGTTTTAAAACAAGCGTACATAAACATTTGAAAATTTTAATATTCGTAGACTAAAAATGGTCTAAAATCTTGAGATTTACCTCAATTGCAAATGAGATCTTCATTTCATTCTATCATATATCTTAAATACATTTGACTTTAAATTTATATTACTTAGCACGTCCTCGATATGAAACTCGGCTCTTTCTGAATTGAACATCTAAGTTACTGCAAATTCAATGGCATTTACCTGACCCCGCTTCACTTAACGCTTTTTTCACAGGTTTCATGAGATAAAAATACCGAGATCATTGAAAGAGCAGTTCAAAAATTGTTTGAAATAAGTGTAACATTTATGAAAATTGTTTTATATCAATATTTTTGATATATCCAATAATTATTATTTTCAATAACAATTAAAATGTAAATTTTGACGAAACAATTTAGTGCCTTTTGAAGCACCGAATGTTTTTGAAATCTGCCCTTTTTTATTTCACATATTAAAAAAGCATATCGAAACAAATTACAAATTAAATACTATAATAAATATAGTATATAACATAATTTTGTAACCATATTTATTTTTATAAGCAAAAGAAATTTATATTTACCCTTCAAGCTAAGTGGAAGCAGGCAAAAAGTTGATATTTAAAGTTTAAAATTTTCTAAGCGAGTAAAATTATTAAAAAATTGTCGCAAAAGGATAAAGCGGGTATAAGAGTCTTTTAAATACTTTTTACTTTAAGCCGTATTTATTCTGTAAAACTTTACTTCTCACTTGCAAAACCACGTATTTCAGCAACTTAGCTAATATATCAAGTCACGTTTGTAACTAAGTTGAAATGTTTCAAAGTGAATTAAAATCCAGAAATATTTTTCTAGTAGAATTTAAAATAGTTTTTTTTGTATCTGGTACTTAATAATGTGAATTCTTCGGACTGATTTTAATAAATTTAGGTATATTTTACAGCATAATATGTATGATTTATGTATGTTATTATTTTAAAATTTTCTTTTAAAATTAAAATGAATAGATTAGTAATTTAAATCCCATGCTGACTTTTCTGATAATTATGTAACATAAATCTTGGTTTAATTTTACATAAAATTTTGTAGAAAATTATTACTCTTAATTTTTGTCTTCTTAGAATAAAATTCTTATTAAAACTTAACAGAAACTAACCTTTTTATTATTTTGTACTTAACTGTAGCTGTAGCTTTAAAAACTTTCATACATTAGGTGAAATCATTTGCTTACATCTGGAATTGGTTGAGATTATTCGTCTTACAGCATAAATCAGCAACAGAGTTATGAAACAGTTATATAAGACATACGAAAAATGTGTTTATAGCGAAAATGCATTGAGAATTCAGAACAAATAGTCTTCAAGTGAAATAAATAAATCTCATACTAAGGAGACAACATTTTGATTCACAGAAATTTATTGAACAACTTATCACATCATACAAAAACTTTAGGAATGCATTTTGAGAATTAAAATGCATAATAAAAATTAACCAAGTTTATAAAATCTTAACAAATCATAAATATACTAAATTTAATAAATGATTGAGACAGTTTTGTTAATATAAATGTTTATACAGTAAAACTTATGTAATTATTTCCCGTATTTTAAGCTACAAATTTAGCTTATCTATACTAATATTATAAAGCTGCAGAGTTTGTTTGTTTGTTTGTTTGTTTGTTTGTTTGTTTGTTTGAAAGCGCTAATCTCCGAAACTACTGGTTCGAATTGAATAATTCTTTTTGTGTTGGATAGTCCAGTTATCGAGCAAGGCTGTAGGCTATATAACATCACCCTACGACCAATAGGAGCAAAGATATAGTGATAAATGTGTAAAAAACGGGAGAAATTATTTCATCTTTGAAGCCTTCCGTTGCGTGCGCCGTGAAAACGGTTCAAGATACACAAAAAATATGTGTTAAAGAATAATAGCTCTTTTAATGATCTAAAAAACAGTCCGCGACAGTATATGTCTATCTTTTAAGATTAACTCACAAAAACCGTTTTTATGGTACCTAATTTGGTCGAAATAATTTGTTTAAGTTGTATCAACATAATAATATTAATCTTTATTCAAATAAACAAATAAATATGTTGTTGGTTAAGAGGATTTCATTGTGAATTAAAAAAACATAGGTTTAATCCTGAAAACTCTACGGGAACTCGACCATTCCGAAAACCCCGCAAGAACGGGAACTATGTGGGAAGAACCAAAAATCTGCCGGAAGTCACTACTCCACGCGGACGGAGTCGCGGCAAAAGCTAGTACAAAATATTTATTCACAACAACTTAAACGTCAAGATTTTTATGGCTTCTTGATATTTTAAATTTATTTGTTGTTAATACTTTAGATCTAATCTAGTACTATATTAATATGTACTTCAATTGAAATAAATGATTTATATAATATTATACATAGGTATTTAATAATAGACTTTATACTATTTTCAAATTCAGAGTCCAAATATAAATAAAAAAAATTATATAATTAATTTAAAATATTTTTAAATAAGTATATGCTGAATACAGAACAAACAATAATATATTTGTGTTGCATTTTTTATATAATATTAGCAACCTCATATAAAAAATCCCATTTCTTATTCTACCACAAAAAATTTTATACATTTCTTTTTAGTATTCTTCATGAGTACAAAGATAAATGTTTTAGATTCAGCACATTTTTTGGAGCTAAAATTTTAATCTTCAGGGATATCTTTTATGTAACACATTTCTAGATATCTGTTATATGTACATATGTAAATTGTAAAATAAATAAGTAATGTACTCTATAAGCTCATTATAAAAAGGTTCTCGACTAGCACAGATAAAAACATTAATCATAAAATTTGTAAATTTAGTTCTACAAACATTTGTCTAATTCAAAATGATATGTTAAATACGTCAAAGAATTTTGAATTTCGAAGTAAGTGGACTAGACAAATAGTTCCCAACCATTAATCCCTCTAATCTTGACAGAATTCTGCGCCGCATGGGAAAAACGGTGTACCCGTTTGTCAAAATAAAAAAATGAATCTGGCTCTGTAGCGATTATACATTGAGTTTTATATTAAAACGTCTTCTAAAATACTTTTTTTTAATAATCTGAATAATAATATAAAACATAAAAATGTTTGAATATAAAATTTATAGGGTTTAGTTTGAGTACTAACGATAATTTTTAAGATTTAGTTTTCCACTTATTAATCTGATATAAATCTTTTGTTGTTTCAGGCATACCGCCGTCGTAAACACTAATCCGAAATGAGATGAGTATGCGCGTCTCTTGGGCCAGGTGGTATTGGATAGTTATCTTCACAACGTGCACCGCAAGGACAGCCAGTGATTGGCTTGATTGCGCCCACATTGTGACCTGTCGTTGCAAGTGGTCATCAGGAAAAAAGACGGCAACGTGTGCATCTAGTGACTTACGACGCCCACCATCTCTTTCTTCGGATATCCAAGTGCTGGATTTACACGATAACCCATTAAGAAATCTACCACAAGAAGTTTTTTCGAATATTGGGCTCCTTAATTTACAAAGGATAAATTTACGAGCAACTAAACTTAGATCTATACATGCAGATGCTTTTTTAGAATTAAGGATATTAATAGAAGTTGATTTAGCTGATAACGACTTGGCGATATTGCCACGGAACATATTCAGAGGTAACGAGAGATTACGTCAAGTGATATTAAGTAACAATCCGCTAACAGTTTTATTCACGGACCAGTTTCCACCTCTTCCCCATTTGCGGATGCTAATGTTAGATGGGTGCAGAATAAGACAAATTCAAATCAACGCATTGCGCAATTTAAAATCTTTAGAGACGATAGACTTACGAAGAAACCAATTAACATTCCTACAACTGGCTACTTTCCAGCCTGTATCTTTGCCAGCTTTAAAGACTATGTTCTTATCTGGCAACCCATGGCGTTGTGATTGCCGATTGCGCGAATTTAAGGATTGGTTTTTGGACAGTACTTTAGGTACAGAAGAATTAGTATGTGTGGAACCTTCATCTCAATCTGGAAACAAATGGAGAAACGTGCCTAGTGATATAATGGCTTGCCCTCCTGAAATCAAATCAAGCACATTGGTTGTTAGAGCAGAGGTAGGTCTAGCTGCTTCTTTTGGTTGTTGGGTCCATGGAATTCCAAAGCCTTCAGTGACTTGGCTTTTAGATGGTGTGGAAATTCATAACAGTACTATCGATTGCGATATCGAAGAAACCGATACCATTATCGAAAATGATGAGACCCATGATCGAGTTGCGGGTAGCGCTAGATGGGTGAATATTACTTTATTAAATGTTACTTCAAATGCAGCTGGAGAATGGACGTGTATTGCTAATAGTGTAGCGGGAGAAGCCAGAGCAGTAATTAGCCTTGTTTTGCCTCGATCACAAACAGCTACAGCTCGAACTGCTCCAGGTATACCGCAGTTGTTAGGAGTGGTTTTTGGAGCTTTAGGAGCTTTAGCTACATTAGGATTTATAGCAGCTGTTGCCTGCTGGCACTTGAGAAAAAGAACAGTCCCGTCTAGTCGAAGTTTTATGGATCAAGAAAAGCGGTTAATAGATGCATCTGTTGTAATAAGTTGCGATCGTTCCATTGCTGATATGGCTTCACCGTGTGATTTTGAACTTACTGAAAGATCATTGTCTGTTGATGACCATCCGAGAGGGTGTAGTTTTGATCCTGTTCATATAACTATTGAAGGCACACCAGGTGCATTCCCACCTCCACCAGCTGAATTTGCAGTTCCAGTTCCTTATGGAAATATCTTTATTTCTGTTCAAGTATCCGGAAGGAGTGAACCAGCAAAATATCCCGATTTACTAAGCGGTGGTACTACGCTACCTCGAAGAAGTAGAACATGCTGTACGGCACCTGCATACGACAACATGGGTCCGAGAGTTACAGCAACAGGAAGTTCGACTTGGTCTTTACCTGGAGCTTCAACAGAAACAGCTGAACAATCAGAAACCCCAGTCCTGACGCTACCTCCACCACCACCAGAATTTGTTTCGCTTTAGCAAAGGCCTCTGGTACTAGACGCTGCAAATTTGAGGTGACCTAGTACCTAAAACTTTTTAAGTCAATTAGACTATTTCCAAATTTTATTGTATTTGTAATACGATAATTTTAACGTGATTATAAAGAAAAATGTAAATAGTGCGTGCGTGAACGATGTGAGACATCTTGTGAGATTTAAATACGTAAGATTGTTATCATATTCGGGTGAAATGTATGTATATTACAGAGTTTGATGTGCTACAAGAATTTTGGACTTTAAATTTAAAAAGCATTTAGTCTACTGATTTCTTTACTAGATGTTACTTTTATGACTTCGCGTATGTGTCTTCCCAACTTTTGTAAATACTGTTTAGTCATGTTTACAAACTTCCCAAATATAAGACTGACCTCTTTGTCTTATTTTCATCCTCATTGTATTTTAACAACTTTAAGTACGACTGTTTATAGCTATGTATTTCATAGATAAAAGATAGCTTCTGAACGTTTTATTTAAAAGCAAATATTGTACGAATAAAACAATCACATTACAATTCTTTCTATGTTTTATTACATCCTTGGAAATTTTAACGTTTACTCTTGAAAGCTACCCTCAAATATTAAAAATTATCTGATAAATTTAAGCAACAATTTTATTTTTTTAAGTATATGGCGTTCTATTAAAAATGATTTATAGTTTCTTCTACTAACTAATGGCTAACTTATGTACTTATTTATCTTAGAATTAAATAGTAAACACCTATTCTACATTATCACATCCTCTTGAAATGCTCTCATTATATGGATATTTTAGCAACAACCAAGTTGTAGGATATTCGTGAAATCGTAGAATAGCCATTTTTTTTATTATTATGCAAGTTTAAAACCAAAAGTACATAATGAAACTAATTATGTTTTATTAGCATTCGAATCTCTATATGCTCGTTGGAAGCAGTACTTAAGCCTCCACAGTCTGTTCGGGACTATTTATATGTGGAAATCCACTAAGTTTTTTAAAGTTTTTACATAACCAACATTTCATAGAATATGTTACACTTGAAAAAAAAATTTAGTCTATACCGTATTTTCTGGTGACTTTTAACGCAATGCGCACAATTATGGTAAGTGCATTCTGGTTCTCCATAGTCCATGAATCCGTAGTAATCTTTGACCTACTTTACGTGATTTACAAATTTTCCCTATTAATTATCCTTTAACCCGGATCCAATTCGGTTTAACATCGGAACCTCTTTCTGTAATATATCATTTTCTTTTGTCGTTTCTAAATTTATTACAGTCGTTATTCACTTATCATGTCTACTATTAAAATGATAAGAGATTATAGTTATAAATCAGCGAATTAAATATATTTTTAATCATGCTCCTGATATTATCATTACATTATATTTGAACAACAATTTAAACCTACAATAAAGAACTAAGAATAATACAATTCGATATAATCGAATAACCACATCAAGTATTGAATACTTCATAAATGGTAAATTTTAAATTTCACTATCATTTGTAATGACATTCTTGGATCCCTTTCATTGCATTTCAGACATTTTGTACTTAACTTTAATAATTTGGAAAGTAATGATGGTAGCGATTGGGTCAGACCTAAAAGTAATTTCGGGCTGTAGACCTTTCACCAAAGCGTACAAAAACAACTTAAGCTTAACATACGCTTTTATGAAATTGAAAGACATAAAATACGCATTTAGGCTTAAACTTAAGTGAGTTATGAATGTTCTTTTCATAAAAGTAAGATAACGTTTGAAAATTGTTTAGAAAAGATGCGAACTTATAGTAAACTTGATCTTTATATTATTTTATTTACTTGTTTTATAATAGACTATAATATGTATCACGTAAAGTGATAACAACCAAAAAATTTAAAATTATTACATATATACCTTCATTTCACAAATTCGTAGACTGACTACACACATACCTATATAATCCGAGTAAAAGCAACGAGTGTAAAAGGTACTGAGTAATGTTTCAAGAAACTATCTCAATATTATATACTATACAACCCATATAATATACAAGTTTTAGTAGAGTATGATACAAGTTTGAAACAGAAAATGCAAACAACTACGTATAGGCTAAGAAATAATATGTAATATAATCTGCTCTAAGCCTTGGGAACATTCAAACTCTATTAAAATTATGGTTAGTCTTAAATCAGTTCCTTATATTGTACATTCACAGATAAAGAAATATCCGTTATTATAAATATAATAAGTAAAATTCTAGGCCTGTTACAAATCTATTTGCAAGTTATTATGTTCTGAAATAAAATATTTTCGTCATTGAACACACAGTTAATGCTTTTAGGAGAAAAAGTAATGTTTGTGAATTTTCTTGAAGCTATTTTTCACTTATTATATTGGATTGTACTAACGTACCTTTGAAAACAAAAACAATGACAAAAAACTAATAAATTAACTTCGCTTTTATATCTCCTTAAAACTCATTTATTTCTAATCATTAATTTACTCGTACATTCATCGTAACTTAAAGGACTTACAAATACTTAAAATTTGATTGAACAATATTACGTTCAATGTTTGCTATCTCATTGTTATAAAGTACAATTCAAATATATCCATATTAGAATATTTCGTTTAAAATATACTGAATATTGTTGAAAAATCTTTATCTCAAGTATTGCCACTGATAAGCAGCGTGCATGTGAAGAGAGTCTCATCGTGTTCTGAATGACGTCGGCGTCTTGCATTTTGTATGGAAATAGCGCACGGTAAGCAACTAAGCCTTAAATGTGTCACTTAAGTTGTCCGCAGACTAGGCAATTTCTGGCTTCATTCAAAATCCTCTACCACATATATCAATCTCGCTTCATTAACAAAAAAATATATATAATTTTTATTCATTTATGTGTTCTTCTTGAGAATTCGGATAGATTTATATAATGTTTATTATTTTTTATAGACTACCAAGTATTATATACATTAACAATTAAATATTTTTACGAGGCGTAAACTTTTTTAGCTATATCACATAATTATTTTGTTACGCTGTCACTCCTCCAAATATGAATTTGATTTTATTTGACAGATCAAATTTGTATAGTTATCTAAAATAAAATTGTATTCTATATTTTATTTTATCAACATTGAATTAAGGATGTTTAAAGAGAGACAAGAAGACAGAGACAAGTTTGGTTTTATTTTCAATGATTTTGAAGACAATTTTCAAAATATATTTACCTTTAACTAAATTTTTTATGTAAATTAAGCCTTAAAAAATAAAAGTAGTAACGTATATACTTATATTTGTTAGATTAATAAACAGTTATTTTTGAAACGGAATAAAATTAAATACTCTTACACTAAGCCAACAACTTCATCTGCCCTTAGGCGTCATGCGTCTATCCGAGTTAAAATGTTCGTTGCAGGTTTATGCAAATATTGAAAATTCCTTTATAAGTTGTTATACTAAAATTTATCAAAAAAATCTAATTTCTACATTGTATAATTCGATCTTTTGACTTTACCATTTATCTCAAGAGGAAAGGATTGTTAAGGGGTACATAAATATAAAATTTTTGTTAATGCAGGTTTTTATAAAACCCAAGAAGCGAATATGAAGATTATATAGTTTGCATTTTTTTATTCTAATTTAACATTTTTAGTTTTCAATTGAGGCTAATATGGGAAAGCATTTATTTTCATAAAGTTTTTTTTTTTATTTTTATTATTTAGGCCAAGGGTTGAATAGCTCGTAATAGGTTACAGAATGAGAAAAGTTCAAGCAATCGTTTTTTGCTTTTCCCATTTCACTGTCAATGCGTATATAAAATAGGGATTTCGTTGTTTTCCTTCTGTTCCTTGGGATTTTATTACAATTATCGGTCTTCGAAGACGGAATAAAACAAAGTATTTCCTCGTAGCTTTCAATCAATTATTTTAAACTATGTTTCATAGTTCAAACGAAAAAGCACTTTCATGTAGTTAACTGGTGTATTAATTTTTTCTATTAACCCAGCATAATATCTAAAAATCATGAATAGTATTTTGGAACTAATAAAAAAATCTATACTTCGTATGATTTCTTGTTTTGAACCACTTTCTAATTAAACAGTCGTTTGTTATTGAGTTATTAGTATTGTTTATCTTTTATATATATTTATTTGATACAGAATATTGTTTTGAAACTTTAGACAATCTCTTCATAGGTGGTCTCATTAGCCTCATTATATGAAGAGCCACTGTGGAATATGATGAGTTCTCTTTCATGTGCTAACAGTTGCGTTATATATTTCTACTATAAAAAGTTATAATATGAATATTTTTTAAATGAAAGCATTATATTTTTGATATATCAAAAAAATTAACCTGTTATAGATTAGAAATAAAATAGATATAAAACTTAATAAACCTGAGAGTTGTTTGAGTGACGTCCTATTTTTTTTAAACATGATCATACTGAAGTGTCAAATGCACTTATATAATTTGCTGATTACGAATTTTTTTATAAAGTTATCATATTACTTACCTATATAAATATTAACTCAAGTAAATATGAGTTTACATAAACATTTTGTAGTATTTTACAAATTTACTTACTTTTAAGTTATGAATAGTACTTATTACAGGTTAGCCGTTTTTTCATCTTAAATAACCTTACTTCCTTCAAAATTTTATCGTCATATAATACAGTATCTTTTATAAATAACAAAAATTAGTTTTAGTTAGAAAGAAATTATTAATATGAATTTAATTTATTAAGATGAATATAAACACAACATTAGTTCTTTTTTTTTATATTTAAAAGTTTAAACCTACGCTCCAGCAACATTTTATATTATAGCCGTCGCGTGCAAACTAGTCGCTTATGTGGTATGTGTGTGAATTAAGACACGGAAAGAAAACATACATCAAATTAATTCACAAGACATATATCCTTACATATGTGCTGTTGTTGTTGTTTAAAAATAAAAAAATGTTATGTTCAATGTACAGAATTAATGCTCAAACTAAATTTAAATACT